ATATAAGTGGAGATAGTCCTACCTTTGAGGAGATCTTGATGTTGGGTCAACCAAATTAAAATATTGAATATGTCAGGCTGATGACGTTAAACTAAGCACTTTATGGGAGATAGCCCATAGTTATCAATGTGGATTGATTTGATTAGTGATTATTGTTATGATGAGTTTATGAAGTTATATTGAGACTTAAATGATTGAGGCAACACCAACTATAATTTTATTGATTAAATTATTGTGGAAACGAAAAAAATTAACTTGTAAGAATTTTGGATTGGCATTATCATGCCAGATCTGACATCATAGCGCCTTAGTCGAAATAACCCCCTAAACCTCCCAATTGACGGTTTTGCCGCCTTCTTCTCTATTAAACTACCATGAACGAAAATGGAGTCATCTTCTTCACATTTCAAATCAGTCTAGAGAAGGGAAAAGAGTGGAAGATTCATCCTAACTTAGAAATCATTGTCTTAAGAGCAATAAAGAGTAATAACAACAATAAGTTTGAAAATAAGAAGATGATGCATAAGGATGCTTCAATGGATTTCTTGCACTGAGTTTGGAGCAGATTACAAAGAAATTCAGAGATTGAAGAGGAGCTATCCCTTCTGCACTACAAGTTGAGTGATATGTACCACCAGTACGAGCACTTAGAGTGGTAGTTGAAAGTTCAATTCAACCATTTGACATGTTTCCAAGACTATCAGGTGAGTATGTATAACAATAACAAGTGGATATACGATAAAGTTTCTCAAGATTTCCCTCACGCTCCATTCTACCACCTCTTTGATCGTAATTATCTAAAGGGTGAAAAGGTGGGGGACAACATCAAGCACAACTATTCTTAAATGTACGATTATGTAAAAAATATGTTATTATTGAGTGCTAAGTTTTGTGTCGACCTTGTTCTTAATGTGACTCTAACACTTTGAATTTTTGTTTTATGTTTGTATTTGTTTTTAATTAAGTCTATGTTATGTCCGTTACAACGAACTTATGATTATTATAATAAAAAAGTTAAGTTTGTGTTGTTGAAGGTTGGTTTATTATGTTTGAAGGATTGGATTAGTAGTTGCACTAGCAAACATTGGAATGATGACAAAGCCAATAAACTCTCAAAACGGCTATTGAAATTGACATATTAGAGTTTGAAAATCTTAGATTTGCTGTGTTCTTTTGAAAAAATAAAAATTTCCAAAATCTGCATGGTTAAGCATGACGCTATAGCACCACAACTAGGTGCTCTAGCACCATTCATCTATGAAGCAGGGCGCTACCACACCTGAACCGGCGATATAGCACCGAACCAAACTGGATCGCAATTTTTAGCGCCAAGACTGCCGATTTTTGCCACTTTTTTCTCCTGGTTCGTTTTCCTCCTCCCATATTTTGCAACTTGTTCCCCTAGGGCTTGGATTTATGTGTGATTGGCTTGGAGTTAGAACTTAGAACTTTGGATTTCTTCTGCTTTGGGTAAGATATACATTTTAGCATAGAATGTTTTTCAAGAACGGCCGCAAAGTAAACTTTTTTTCAATGCTTAATGTTCATTTTTTAGCCTGACATTATTTTATATCTGCTAGACGTCTTCCAACTAACCATTTTAGCGAGGTAACCCGGGAGAGAGCCACTTTGAACTATTGTATTCAAATGAGAAAATCTATAGATATTGGCTCTCTCATTTACAAGAATATGATCATTTCCTCAAAGGAGGAACAGTTGGAGGTATGAGTTGTCATTCTCTTATTTCTACTATGTTTATACAATCTAGAGTTAAATATGAGCCATGGGAGGATACCTTGGCATCTTTAAAGCCTATTAGAATGGCTAATTTGGAAATGTATGGAAAGCATACTAGTTCAGGATCCAAGTGTGAAGGTTCAGACATTCCATCTACTTCAATCTTAAGACCTTCCACCTTTAGTACTTCTACTCTGGACACTTTATTGGAGTAGTTATTCAGACAATAAGGAGATATTTTATCTTAAAAGAATCAGATGTGGGGATTAGAGGCACACTTAGACCACAATGATGAGTATTTGTAGAGGAGAGTTGATTATGATGCTACTTTTAATGAGACTCTGGTGAAATGTTTGAAGGGTGATCATTCAGTTCAATTTCCTACATGCCTCTGGTTTTCTCCATATGAGAGTGGTGGAGAAATGGAGGAGGATGTTGATATTGATGATGATGAGGAGGAGGAGGATGATTAGATTATTTTTTATTTACTTTAGATCATGTATTTTGATTTCCTTTCTTAGTTACATGATGTTTTATTGTTGGATTGTTGCGTTTGTACTTTGATTAGTCTTTTTAGGTTTACATGAATGTTGGACTGCTGTGCCGCACCTTTTCATTTATGGTATAATTGTTTATTTTTTTTTGCTCCAGTTTATATTATCCGTGTTAGAATATTCTTCACTTTATGCTTCTATAATTATACTTGTTAATTAGATTTACTACTGCTCAACACCTGTCTTTACTACTTGTACCTGTACTATTCTCCTGTTTAAGACTTTCAATTTTTTTTCTCTTTATGAACTGTATTATTTTAAATTAATAAAAAAATTAAGTTTGGGGGAAGGGAGAAAAACTATTTAAAATTAAACCTTATTTGTCCTCAATAAATTATATTTTAAAAATTGTTTTAACATGACTCGTGGTATGTGGGGTTAGCTTTAAATAATTATATTTTTTATTTTATAAATGTCATAATAAACTTAAGTAAAAGTTTTAAATAATAAAGGTTAGTTGCAGGGTTAAGATATTTAGTATAATAGTATAATATTATGCTTTTACTATTCAAAGCAAAGGAAATTGTATTTTTGAAATATTAAGGATCATAGATATGCACTTTAAAAAAAAGAATTGAGACTTTATGGAAAATATTTTTCAAAGCTAATACACATGTATCAAATAAAGAAATGTGAGAAGTTTTTATCTTTAAGAAGAGAAGGTTGAAGTTCAAATATATTAAAGAATATCCAAATATAATAATCATTGCATAAAAAGAAAAGAAAAAAAGCATTGAAAATGAACCCATAAGAAAAAGAAAAACAAAAGCTATATATATATTTTAAGTATTTACATTTTTACTAATAGAGCTCTCATGAAATTCTTTTTCTTATAATTCTTCTAAGCATCCTCAGTATGACAAATTATAGTTATTCTTGAAATGAATAGAAAATTAAAACTCTTAGACTTGATTAGTAGATATTCCTATTAGATATTCATATATTTTAGTTTTAACCTGAGTTATTTAAACATTTTTCTAAAGTTTCACTATCACATTTATAGGACAAAAACTATATAAATTTTTTAGCAAAGCTCATTACCATAAGTGATGAATTTTTACATAGTATAAGGAGTTACTTAAGGACAAGTAACATTTAAGTTTGGAGAAATTGATACACCTTAAAATTACCACTATTTAATATACATTTAATGTTCATTTTATGCATATTTTTGATGATATTACACTTTTAAGGAAGGTATTTTGCATGTTTTTTGTTTCAGGTACAAGAAATGGATCTTTATAGAAAATGAGAGCAAAATAGAACAAAATAGCACAACACCATATGGCGTCATAGCGCTGGCCTGTGGCGCCATAACAAACCATTAAATGCTTTCCTTTCTAGGAAAATGGAATTGAGTCAACACTAGTTATGGATCCAATAGTCAGTTATAAATATGAAGAGGTGCATTAATTACTTGTGACACTTCTATTAAAAACAGAGATAAATATGTAACTTACTAAACACCCCTTATGATCTATAAATAGGAGTGTTATTTCTTTAAGAAGGAACTGCTAGACTTAGTCTCTGATATCTTATGTTACCGTGCACTATATTTCTCTCATTTTATCTCTTTGTTCTTCTCATCAGTCTAACGCTCTATTCCTTGTATGTGATCCACATGACTTTTTTGGATTTAATAGATATGCAGACCATTTTATTGATCTATCAATTTTAAGAATTCATTAAAAATAAATTAAGAAAATGATTAAAGCTTTTTTTTTTTGAGCACAACCTTTAATTGAAAAAAAGAGAGAGTCATTTTAATAAAGGTAAATTTAATTATATACCACACAATTTTTATGCATTTGTATATATAACAATTAAATTTTTTTATTTATTTATGAGGCTTTGATATTATAAAATTATGCTTGAAAATATTCATTTCACCTTTAAAAAGTAAATAATAAAGATTTTTCAATAAAAAAAATGAGTGTTATATATAGAATTATAAAAATTTAGTTATTAAATATATAAATAAAGAAGAATTGTGTGGTAATTATATAAATGTGCTTTTAATAAAATATAGACCTTATGTAAGACTTGACACTTATGTTGCACGGATACGGACACAGGGACACCACACGACACTACACAGACAAAGGACACCAAGACTACACAGATAAGAGACACGTCAATCGTTGAAAAATATAAGACAAACACACATTAGACACGCCATTAAATAAATAAAATATTAAGAATAATATAAAATATAAAATAATAAATTTAATAACACTAACATTTAAAAATTAGGAATTCATCTGACATTACTTTTATTTATTATTTTAGTTGATATAATTTTTGTATATTTTATTTTTTATTTTAAAAAATAAAATAAATTGCATTTCAAAATAATCAAAATGTATAAAATAAACATGTATTATTTGTATTACATCACGTTTTAAGTTCTTTTAATCAATTTTTCATGAAAAGAAAAAAAAATGATCAACTACTTCATTAACACTAATTTCTTATGTCTTTATATATCTAACACCTAAATTTTATTTATTATATTTATTTATATCACATCTAATATACTATACACATTTTAACAGACACACAAACACACACATAAATCATTCTTAAATTTTACATAAAAATATATATTTTTAATTTTAATATTAAAAATAAATTTTAAAAAACTTTTAATTCATTAATTTAAAATACTTGTGCTGCGTAATTGAAGTAAACATCTCTAGAAGTCGGATCCGTATTGATGTTGGTATTCATTATCGTGCTGATCATAGCTGATTGCTGAGCACTGTTCTTCTACCCCCTTAAAATCCGAAGTCCTTCCTGCAATACTGCGTCGTTGCTCCGCATTCGATCACTCTCCCACTGGTCCCGTCCTTGTCCATACACAATTAGCGGTTCTACTTCTTTCTAGGGTTTTACCTTTTTCCTCGAACGATGTACGCCGATCGGGTCGCAGCCGGGACCAAGCGCTCTATCAAGGAGCGACTTGAGGGTGACATAGAAGACGATCTTGGCCCACTCCAGAAGCCGGTATTGAAAAGGTTCTATTTCTTATCCCCATCACTTGTGCACGTTTTATAAGGCCAGGCGATTTTAGGGTTTCTTTTGCATTCCGAGCAGATGCTTCTCGAACAAAAAAAGAAACACTGGCGAACGATCAGACATTATATTTTTTCTTTTGTATCAGGATTTGACTCAGATTTTATGCTGAGGTATTCTCTTATTAGCTTTTTGTGCTGCCTCAGTCGCCATCATGGTGTGGTTAACTTGTAATGTGAATTTTGCATGTTTGATGTGTTTATTGTGTGTTTCTGCTTTCATAAAGCCTTACATTCAAGTGTTCTGCTTTGAACTATCATTCAATTATGTGGCAGTGTTTGGAAGAGCACATCTGCATTCCATCCATTCTAATACCATTATAATCCGAGCTTGCAAAATCTGCTCTGCTGCACTTGTTTTTGACATTGCTAGTGGCATTGTGGTTGTTAGCATTGTACTTGCATCTGTATTCTTTGTTTCATTGATGCTGTGGTCCATGGCTGATCATATTATGTTACCTTGGCCAAATAAGTTTTTTAGATGTACTACCATGAATGTATTGGACTTGGGTATATTTAGCTTAAATTTCAATTACTATTTTGAACTATGAATTTTCTTTTTAGCTATTTAAAATTTTCTTTTTAATTTTATTAAATCAATAAATCTATTATAGTATTTTCTTAATTTAACACATTTGTAATTTGCTTTATAAGATAAGAAAATCATTTCAATAGTAACTTACATCATTATTAATGCTTCTGTTTACTATAATAACTATCAAATGGGTAAAGCTAAATGATATTACACACACAACTCTTGTATTATCATGCATTCTTTCACCATCAATTGCCAATTATAGCCCTTTTTTTATCTTCATTTCCATCTTTGGGTATGACTGGTGGGTTCTTCACGAGTTTCAACGACCATTTTATCGGCTTCATCAATCTCCAAATATAATCATTATATTTGATTAAATGATTTATAATGTAGGGTGTCATTGAAAGAAACATATCATTGGGCCTTGTTTATCAATTTGTGCAGTAATTTATTTATTTTTGTGCTATCTATTCTCTTTGAAGTTATCAACAAAGTCTTTAATAACCTCTCTGTTTTATCATGAGAGTTTTATATTATAGTTCTCGTGCACCTCATACTTGTTTTTTTTTAAATAGTAATCCGAGGTTCTTTTTGTTGGCGCTGAGGAATAAATTACTTGAGATAAAGAAATAAATGAAGTTGTAGCATACTAGATTGAACTTCACGACCCCTATTCAAATGGGGTTTGTAAGTCTATTGGCTCAAGAACTCAAAAAGTATGTATTCTAATCAACACAAGTTCTTAGTTCATATTCAACACTTCTTTGGCTGAATAATTTGTCTTGTTTCTTGAGCTCGAGATAATTGGCCGTTACATGAGCTAGAGAACTCACTTATGAAAATAAGCAAATTCAACTTTTATAAGCTTGTTGATACCCAATATTTGATTTATAAAAGCTAAGAATTGCCAAAAATACGTAAAATTTGAATTTTAGTACAATTATTGTTTTATCATTTGCCTCTATGGTTTTATATTTGGATTTATTATTGGTTTATAATTTAATCAATATATATTAAGATCTCATTATACCTCCATAGGGTATCATAAAGATGAGACCAATAGCTTCTCATACCTTGGGGATGTTTGAAGGTTGGGCAGGTTTGAGTTATGATGCTCCAAAGAAATAAAGTTTCTAAATTTTGATAGTTTATTGATCTTAAATGAGCAATATCTGTTCATTAGATTATTATTGAGTCGTGAATTTGCACGAACATAATTTATAACATTAAAATCTGTAAAGATATATCCTTTTACTCCTTTGAGAAACATAGATAATATCAAATTGTAAGTGAATGAGAAACATAGATAATATCAAATTGTAAGTGAAAGGCTTCCATTGTGTCAAATTGCCTGCTAACGTTGATGATGTCATCAAGAGTTTCAGTGAATTGATTCTTAATATGAGAGTTCTTTTGTGAGACAACATGGAACGACAAAGCTTATGATTAGTGAAGATTAATGCCACACAATGTTCCTCAATTAAAGAATATCATACTTTTTAATTTCAAATAATATCATAAAGGGCATCTTGATTGTATTGTGGTAGCAATATTTCGAGTGATTGAGGCTTTCCCAAAATTGGCGCTCTAAGGTTAGGCAAACCTACCAAATATTTAATTGTACCATGAAGTGCTTCTTGGCATTTTCATTTCATTTGAAAGATGTGTTTATTTCACTAGTTTTAAAAATAGTTGATACTTGCCTGGCCGAATGAATGCAAAGTATCCTTATAAAGAATAATATTGGTGAATGATTTTAGAGTGCGTCTTCTTAATGATTAACTTAATCGTATTAGGATCAATCTTTATTCCTTTGTGAAGACAATATATCCAAGAAATTTCCCATGGATGCCTCGAAAGCATATTTAACATGATTTATTTTGAGATCAATATTTTTGATATTATCAAATACAATCCTTAGGTTGTCAAAATGGTCTTTGCAATTGATGCTTTTGATTTTTAGAATATCAATTTAGTATTAGCCATTTGATGATTTAATTTATGAAAATTGTTTAGTTCTTTGATATTGAGCCCCATCATTTTTTCAAACCGAAGGGCATGACTAATATTTCAATTGTTGTCTCAAATGATGTATGTTTTTTTCTTTCTATACCATTATGATTTGATTATATCCTAATGATTCATTTATAAAAGAGAACACATTGTATTCGAAAGTAATGCCTACGAATAATTCTGATACAATTGCGAGAGTCATCTATTGGGCATATCTTATTAAGATCCTGAAATTCAATGCATATATGAATAACAAATTGTTTTATTGACGAAGATAGTAATATATGTACAATTTGTGTATTTCTTTTCACAAATTAAGTCTGCTTTGATAAATTTCTTGATTTTTGCAATCTTTTGTTTTTTAATATAAATCTTGTCTACCCTGGACTTATTTGATAAGTGTTGCATTTGTGCTGATAGCCAGTCCATATGTTTGGAAAAATTTAACAACTTTTATTTCAAATTCATCCTTAGGAAGAAGCGCTCTGATTAAAATTGGGAAGGATTTTCCTCAATTCATAATTGATTTCCCTTGACACGTCCATCGTAGAACTCTTTCACTCTCTTGAAATTATTTTGGGGTGGATTTAACTTATGTGTTTGGCCATTTGAAATTTTAATTTCATGCAAATTTCCTTGATATTCATTTTTAGTTTTAGTTTACTCTTTTGCAACGAAAAAAATTGAGACATTCAGTGATATAATGGTGTATGCGGACTTCTCTGATTTAATACCTTTTCAAAATGTTGAGTTTGTTTTATACCTTTAAAGAAAACAAGTGGTAGAAAGTCTGTAGGACCTGATGATATCTCAATTGAAGTGTGGAACCATTTAGGAGATTTGGGAGTTTCTTGGCTTACTAAACTCTTTAATATTTTTTTAAAAGCTAAAATGATACCTGAGTGAAGGAATAGTATTTTGGTCCCATTTTTAAGAATAAAGGGGATGCACAAGAGTGTGCAAATTATAGGGGAATTAAGTTGATGTGTCATACTTTAATATGAGAGAGGGTAATTGAACATAGGTTAAGACTTATTACAAAGATTTCTCATAATCAATTTGGATTTATGCCGGGCACGTCGCCTGTGGAAGCTATACATTTATTTAGAGGCTTGATGTAGAAGTTCAGAGATAATAAGGAGGATTTACATATGATTTTTATTGATTTAGAAAAAGCTTAGGATAATGTTTAAAGAGTACCCTTTGGAGAGTTCTTGAGAAGAAAGGTGTAGATATGACTTGTATTATTCAAGTCATTAAAGATATGTATACAAGAGCTGTTACTTGTTCGAACAGAAGGAGGATTGACCAAATATTTTCCTATTTCTATTGGCTTACATCAGGGATCAGGTTTAAGCCCATATCTTTTTGCTTTATATATAGATGGTCTTACTGGACACTTACAAAAGGATGTACCTTAGTGTATGCTTTTTACTGATGATATCCTTCTCGTGGATAAGACGAGAGAAAAAGCTCAGGAAAAACTTGAATTATACAGGTCTACCTTGGAGTCTAAAGGCCTTCGTTTGAGTAGAACTAAAACTAAATAAATAGAAAGTAAGTTTAGTTGTAGTATCTCTAGTGACCGAAATGTAACTATGAGTGATCAAATTATTAAAAGGTGTGAACGCTTTAGATATCTCGGGTCTACTGTTCAAAGTGATGGTGACATTGATGGGGATGTTATTAGTAAAATTCAAGTTGGTTTGTTGAAGTGGAAGAATGCTTCGGGCATATTGTGTTATAGAAAAGTACCGCTTAGACTGGAAGGAAAATTTAATAAGACGGTGGTGGAACCTGCAAGCTCTTTGGCACTGAATGTTTTCCTTTAAAAGAGAAGCATAAAACTAAGTTAAGTGTTGCCGAGATGAGAATGATTAGGTGAATGAGTGGCTTTACACTTAGAGACAATGCGAAATGAATGTATCCGTGGTATCCGTGATAGGGTTGGTGTGACGGACAAAATTAGAGAGAGTCGTCTTAGATGGTTTGGTCACATTAAACGTCGACCATCTGATGATCCGATTAGAATAGTAGATGTTTTAGATCTGACTTATGTTAAGAAAGCAGAGGTAGACCTAGGAAGACTTGGGCATATTGTATAAAAAATGATCCTAATTTATTAGATTTAAATGAAAATATAATACTAAATAGGACGCAATGGAGAAAAAGGATGGAGAAAAAGGATTCA